TTGGTGGGGCTGTTTCATAAATATTTTTTTCAATTAAAAGGAAATGAATGTGTATGATTTTTACGAGCCAGATTAAAACAAATCAAGAAAATAATAAAGCAATAATTAAGAAGCCGGCGTAACCAGGGACCGGCCCTCAGTTTTTGGCAACCTGATTTAGTAATGGAAAGTGTGAACGCAAGTATAAATAGCTTAAAATAGGACAGCTTATAATTTAAGTTATGAAGTTGAACGAAAGCTTAATTCATTTTGGGCAATAAAATCATCAAAGTGACGGTAATTAATCAGTCTTTTCAAACGCAGAGGATCAAGTAAACTAGATTGCTGAATTAATGGATGTCTCACCCACCTGCCACACACTGATTTCATAACCCCCCCCCCTCGGTTCCTTTCTCTGTTATTGATTGGGTTTTCATCTAAGAAAATATTGGCCGACATTCACATATGCATATCATAAACACACTAAAATCAGTTGCAGATATTTACTTCTATTATAAAATTGTTCATCATTAATAAACTACTAATGATGTCGAACATTGTTGGACAGCGATGATGCTTTCTTTAAATGTGTATATGGCGTTTCCAGGATGAGATTATGGCCGGTCTGAAAGAAACTGAACACAGCGACGTAACCGAAAGTGGCAGCTAGAAAAGCAGAGAGACTAGAGAGAAAACACAGTGTATAGGGTTAATTTGCTAATAATGGTTTTGGGACCATATTCTAAATTTTGACTACGTGAAAAGGCTGGCGCACTCGAGGGCTATTTCCTCCTTGCTTCGTTGTGTTGTCTTCCACTAGATATTTGATCCTACTCGCGGAGCCATTGGTGATTGGATAATGATAATTCAATGCACTAATTAAAGCTTGCTTTCACGTGCATCCTTCCCTGTTTAAAAAAATACGACACGATAATTCCTAACACAACTTCAACGCACGTTCATCGCAACCATACAGAACTTATTCGCATACATATCGGACACAAAAATATTGCTGGGTTATTTTTTTTCCCCTGTAAATCATACTTTAGAGCTGATAAAATAATTGAGAAAATGATAATAAGATTAAGTTTTGACGGACGTGGAGCAATATTGCTGTAATATAAAAAATACAAAGTAGGTCACCGTCAGGTCAAGGCAGAAGAATTGAAAATGACGTTGGAATGAGCTAGAGAGTATGATATGACAAAAGGGGTTGATTAGTGATTAGCAGTGCTTAATTTCGTACTAAATTGTAATGGACAGCAGGGCGGGGGGGGGGGGGGAGCCCGTTGAATTGGTGTAAGGAAGCAAAAACAAAATTGGTCTGTGACTGGGGTAGAAGGATGAGATTGACACAACAGGCCATGGCTTACTTCTAACGGACAATACCCTCTCAAGGTTCTCTCGTGGGAACACACAACCCAGACACGATTTGAAGGTCATCACTAACACTACACCAACCCCTTATCAAATAAAATTGGCCAGTTTTGGAAATAAAGCAGAAACTTTATCACTTTCCCATCATCGTCATCAACCTGCACCCTCCCATGGGCACCGCACAGTGAACAGTTTCCATTTATGTTTCAATTTCCATAATTTGAATTGAATGATCTCCAGAAGCTAATATCTATATGTGTGTTACTGTTACGTAGGTTCATTTCAGTGGGAGGCGTCATTAATAGCAGGAATCCAACCCAAGTTAAATTAATCTGAGGATGAGCACAATTAATCTGGGATGTGTATAAATATATTTATAGTACGTACAAGGGGTGAGACCACGTGGTTTGTAGTAAAGAAGGGGCTAATAGGGCATGTGAAACCCTCGTTTAAGTGCCCCCCAGAAAACCCTGTGAAACGTACACAAACATTAGTTTGCGGGGGCCATTTGAGGACCAAGTCTCCTCCGTGACAACTAACATGATCCTGCACTCTTTTACGAGGAGACATTTCCAGCGGACCCCACTTGCTCCCCCTCGTTCATTAATCTCCTGGCCCCACCCTTCCTCTCTGTCTATATCTTCCTGCTTAATCTGGACGAAATTGTGTGTGTGTGTATCCGATTAATCAAGTTCATCCGCTAGAGGTCAACGAAAATTACATATGCGGGTGCATCCAATTTATGAGCACATATTAGCACTAGAAGTAACACGTAATTTTGGACCAGTTGCACCGAAGACTTTCAAAGCATGCATAAGATTTTACAACTCGAGCTGGTTTGATCCTTAATTAACGTTTTGACTTCTTTGCAAGTCATTAGAAACTCTAAACAAATATAAATGCGGCTGAGTCTTTATTCAAACCATTATGTTATGGTTCCTACCTGTTCACGCATTTCAAATCTTCCTATATATAGATCTCATTCTTCAGAAGGAAGGAAGATTGTGATGTTTTTCAACTCTGAATTATTAGTTTTGCAAGTGGCATTTCTTGAGAAACTGAAAGTGATGATACATACATAGCCAGCCACATTGTACCCATATATGCCATTGTCCTATCTCGATACTAATTATTTAGACATATATCCCAAATTTAGACGACAGTTTCAGATGTAAAGTCAACTAATTAAAAGACAAGGGGGGAAAACATAGCTGAAATTAGCCAGCGTCATTAATCAGTACACACCGAGTGATGGAACGGCATATATATCATTATTATTATTTTGATTGATCAGTACTTTATTTTTCAGTTATGTAGACTTTTACGATAGATGCCCCTTTTGAGGAATTATCAATTAAGGGAAAATGCAGAAATGATTAACAATCCTGTTGATCTCCAGTTTACAATGATCAAAAGTTTTGATCATGACGAAGATAAACGTACAAGTAATTAATGTAAAGGAGAGTGATGCTCAAACTTGATCCCATATGTAGCCACCTTTATAAAAATTTATAAATGACTTTGGTGTAACTAATAATAGAATGCAAGGTAGCATATATGCCAGTGTCAATGGTTGTTTATTAGTTAAATAATAATTTTGGTTTGTCGCCAAAATTAGTTAGATAGTACGTAGTTACTCCGCGATTATAGGTCACTAAGTATATAATAAATTAATGTTATATATACTGGTTTGATTTCTTAGGTGGAAAGCCAACCAAGGATACTAACCATGTTTGATGTGTAAGTTACATGTGTAAAATTTTTTTTCCAATATCTGATTTCTTTATGTGTTTCATATGATATAAGGCGATTTTAACATATTTTATAATGGGTGGAAAGCACAAAAGAGGCAAAAAAACTAACGGGTTTACCCAAGTGTAAGTACGTAATTCAAGTTAAACATTTTATTCTCATCTATTTATATTTCAAATATTTTTTTGTTCAAATTCTCCATTGTAATTTTTATTATCAGTGTTATTGTCAACTAAGAGTTGTAGAGTGCGGATATCATGGTACTATATATATAAAATTATTCAATTTACTGTGTTGAGAAATTAGACTAGGTAATTAGGTACTTGATCCCAATGATAGTAGTTTTGTCATGATTGTTGAATTTGTTGAGTTCAATTATTGCTTATTAATTCCTGTGTTTATTGATTTGAATTTCTTGATATTTGACAACCCATAACAGTATATACAAGAGGATATATATCGATGTTATTTAAAGACCACTTGTTACGATAATTTGTGTTTCAATGAGTTGTCGTTAATAACAAGTGAGTTTTGATTACTTCCTGTATGACTTGAGGTTATAGTTTGCTTAGTAGGTTGGACGATGGATTTTGTGTATGTACTGTAATTACTTTGGATATCGAACGATTGTATTTAACAATTGTATACAATGAAATTAGTTCTGGTTTTAAATCTGATTCTGCAGTAGTTTAATTTTGTTGGTACTAGTTCTTGTTTGGAACTAGATACTAGCTCTGGTCCTAATTATAAGATATTGTTTGTAGTCTACAACGAGGTTTATAATTAGGATCGAAGATGGTATAATGTATCAAGAAAATAAACAATAGTTTTTTTAAGAAAATATTATATGTGCGTTATTTTTTCTGGGTTAATATTATGTTTATGTTATTGCTGAAACAGAAACAAACCGATGTACGTGCTGGCAAAGAAAACAAACCGACGTACATAGTCCGTTCTCTCCGCCCATCACTTGGTTTTGACTTTTGACCAATGTAAAAATTATTATTTGTGTCTGTTGTTTAACCAAGTTGTGATATTGTCTTATTAGAGTCATGTGGGCCAATGTGAGTGGGCATGGGTCGTAGATTAGAAGCTGCTGAAGGGAAGACGTCCCAATCAGGGAAAAGCCCCACACCGGACCCTGCCAGCCCAGCTTGATTGGGAACTCAGTCTCTTTCGGCCCACTTTCGACTTCATCTCCTTCTTTCACTCATTCTTGTCTCTCTCCCCATCCTCATATTATTATTATTATATGATCTCGCTTTATTATAATTATTATCAAATAGCACCCTTCAAGTTACTGTCATTGGATCCGGTCAAAAAAAAAAAAGTTACTGTCATTGGAGTCATACCTTTTTTTTTTTGGGTGGACAAAGTCATAGGATTCATGCTTATCGGCCATCGTTTTCGTCCTTCAAAATATTATTTTCATTTTGCGGTTAAATATTTAGTGACATCAATTTAATTTTAATGTTTTAATAAAATATCTTCAGTTCCAAGTTAGAGTTAAATTAATGTTGACAATATTTTTTCAAATAAGCATATCAATCAAAATTAACTTTAAAGATCAAACTAATGATAAAATATTTCAATGGCTGATGATAATTTTCTTGAAACGGAAATGTTTTTTAGTTTCTATAGTACATATTAAATAATTTAATTTTGATTTTTGTACGTATATTAGTAAACATGAATAAAAAAAAACAGAGAAAACTTAAATCACTTTTTTTTTTGTTAAGAGGAAACTTTTTTTGGTTTCCCCCTATTTTGTGTTTCCTGGGTGCGTGGAGAATCTTTCCTACGAGGCAATATGTGCGTGCAATCCCAAAAATAAAAAAGAGATATAGTTCTGCACGATTTTTGTCACTATGCTACAAATTCGGTTCAAACAATTGAAAAAAAAGTTCCATTCAAGCAATTCAAATAGAAATCACAATTATAAACTGAGAGATACAAGTTACAATTAAAACTCAAATCTCTAGCATGTAATTAAGGCTCGTGAGTTCACAATTATTTGAATCATATCTGGAACTCGTTTTTCAGAAAGATTTCATTCAATTCTCTGGTTCTAGCAGCTTGTATGGGTTTTAGCCAAGAGAAAATAAGAAAAGAACATTCCAAATAAAAGGCCCACAGGGGATGGATTATATCCTGTTGATTTTCGTAGAGCTGTTCGTCAATTTCAGAATGCAGAGTCATTCCGCAAGTGGGCCGAGGTCTTCGAACTTATAGGGGGAAAAAAGGCCCATTAATACCACTAAAAAAGGTCTTGTACTGAACAGAATATTGACGAAGGAGCCTATGGCCTCCTGAGTCCTGAGGAAGACACATGAAGCTTATCCTTGATGGTGGAAGGCCATGGATTCGATCCTCCTCGCTACTTCAAGCATCTACTTTGCCCTTATATAATAACAATAGTAGTGAAGAAAACAATGTCTAAGTGTAAGCTACCGTTCAGCTGCCATGTCGGAATTCTCTGATCGAGGGGGCCTCCATTTCCTATTAAAGATGCTCCCTTCAGCCATTTTTTCAGGCTTCGACTTCTCATCCTGGATTTTTAGCTTCTCATCAACTAATTCCAGCAACTCTTGTAAACCCACTCCAGTGACAGCAGACGTTCTCACATGGGGACCAGACAGGCCCACAGTGCATGCATTTTCAACGCCACGGTCCTTATTTAAGGGCTCGTTTTGTTGCTCACAAACTGTCCAGGGCAAAGAGGAGTCATCTTCATCGACCAAAGTATCCTCATACAACCAGCCATCAGAATCACCTTGCTTCCCTACCATGGCCTCCTTGACATCTTCAATTTCTACACCAGGATTATTACCTGCATCATCATCCTTTTCAGTTTCCGCAGATGCGCAAAATTTCACACCATCCTCTCCATAGGAGATGCAGGTTTCCTCAGTCTCATCTTCACCTTTACCCTCAACTTCATCATCATAATATTGATCATCATCCACGTCCTCCTCTTCGATATCAATCTGAACATATTTCATTGTTCACATATGTAATTAATTTTATTCCCCTCTCCATTAGAAGAGCGGGTAAATCGCATTACCTTGTTCCAAACTTCAATCATATTCTGAAGCTTCTCTTCCGGCACTCCTATTTGTTGAAGAACTTGCAGCACTGTGGAGCGATGCTCATCAAGGTTGGGAGCACTGGAATCCACCACATGCTTCAAGAAATTATATACTTTTTAGATTAGCAACAAGAAGACCAGCTTCTTAAGTGATCAACTGAAATTCTGTGCAAATATAACTAAAAGCGAGAAAGAAGAAATAACTTTTATTTCATTGAAAAAACCTGAGAGAGTAATAAAAATTGGAAACCAGAAATTATGTTAAATGCCTTCTGTATGAATATGAGCATTGTTTTCCAGCAACTGAACTTGTTCATCACCCAAAAAAATCCCCAATATGGATTTTCTTTCCACCTGCCATCTTCATATCACCCTTTACCTTGATGTTCGCCTTTTCTCTTACCTTTTTTTTTTATTATTTTTTTTTTTTGGGGGGGGGGGGTTGTTGAGTTTGAAATTTATAAATGGGTTAGAATGACAAAAACCCATGTGATAGAACAGTTGATCAGGTAATCTTGCATGATGGAAAGGAAGTTTCTTGTACATCTCAGCAAGACTACTAAGAGCATTCTCATGTCACTTCAAATGTGCAACTAAATCATACCACAAGCAGGTCTGCTTCAACCACTTCTTCCAAAGTTGCATGAAACGCTTCCACCAACTGAAGGAAAAACAGAAACCAAAAGGATAGATTGCGTCAGTGTCCAGAAAATACTGACAAGACTTGAGTAATGCGACGTGGCACTTTGGCTCATGATTTGTCATTACCTGTACAGGTAGGTCGGAGATAAATCCCACTGTGTCACTGAAAAGAACTTTTCTCCTGCATATTTTACATGAAATTTGTACGGAAAGGCATGCTTAAATTTTTCTAACCAATGGACATTAAAGGTCAATAGAAATCAGAGGATTTCTTTTTTGAAGGCTTCAGGTCAGTGATAACCAGAACGTGAAAAAAATCCCATTGATTTATATTTGACATTTGCATCCCACCTCTCTCGCCATAATTATATCATCTAATAAACTACACATGAATTCATCACATGCTAGAATACACACACAAATATAGCTAATACGCAAACAGGCAGGGGCCACAGCCTACTGGACCCTTATTCCCTAACAATCAAATTAAACAACAGAGATTAAAATAGAATACTGGTCAATTACCCTGAAGGGAGCATGCTGCTTCTTAATCTAGGATCAACTGTTGCAAAAAGTCTGCAACAGGCATGAAACCATGGGGCGTTAAAGCAGAGAAGCTACTACGAAAGATTTAAGACATTAAAGCATGCACAAGCATGTAGGAAAAATCTGAGGTGGTTTACCGACAATCGCTATACAGATCACTGTCTGCCAGTTCACTAACTAGTGTGGACTTTCCCTGATATAAGCAGGCAGTAAAGCACATTAGCCCTTGAAGATACAATATATAGAAAAGATATGTATTAGGACTGCTTACAGCATTTGTATACCCAACGACAGCAACAGTAGCTAAGCCTTGTCCAAATGAACCTCCTTGCCTTTTGCGACCAGCGCGTTGCAAAGCCCTAGTGCGACGAACCTCTTCAATTTGTGACAACAGGTGATTTCGCCGTTCCAAGATTCTGAGCATTTTGCATTTCAGTGATAAAACATAATTTTTTATAACAGTGAAAACTTTTGTGATTGCACATATCATGAATACCTCATATTTCATCAACCGAACATATTTCAAGAGGATTACAAATCCAAGATTACCTTAAACTTGCGTAAGACCATATGCATCATTATTCAACAACACCACAAAAAAGATACCAAAAAGAGATTGAACCTTATATTACCAATGGTGATCAGAAAAGACGTGCATCATTTGGATTGACTTGAGCCCAGCACTTGTTAAACTTACACTGCCTACTACAATTCTACTGACATTGCCCATATCCTCTTCCAAAGACATAAAATGACTACCCTCATGAGTGGTGGTATTATAAGTGAAGACTTCATCTGAAAAGGAGAACTGTTTATCCATAGACTATAGCTTCAGCACTAAAGTGAAAATTTGCTATAGCTAGAGGGAGTGGAAAAGTAAAAACCAACTTAAGAAACTACACACATTTAGAGGAAGAAATATGTTATGCACAAAAGAAAGACAAACCCAGAATACTTGAGTAAAAGTGCATCAAAAAACCTCAGCATGTCAAAATATACCTTCGTCGCTGAAGCTGAAGTTCTGTTTCTCCAGCTCCACTAATGAAACCTCGCCCCCCGCTTCCTCTCCTGAAATTCAGTATTCAATTTACAATTTGACATTGGAACTAACGATTTACCAAAGCAAAAGATTGGCATGGAGAACATGCAGAGAGCAATACAAGATGCATGCAAACATGAATGTGTAAAGGCCGGTCAGAAAAGTGAAAAAGTTATATTTAGTGTTAACAATATTGCATATTAACCTCATGTTAAAAAAAAAAATATATTGCATATCAACCTTAGACTTTGGAAAACTAGGTCCAAGTAATATCATTTTTTTGGCTAGGCCCGTGAAAGGAATGGTGGCCATCAATAGCTGGCCATCATTGGCGCTTATTTCAATACCTCAAATTTTCAGAATATATATCAATCCAATTTAGCACTTTTTGTTCGCATGAAAAATATAATTTATCGTCTAAAAATCACACTAAACACTATAAACTTAGGCAACAAACCAACCCCCGAGCACTAACAACTTCAGCTTCTCCAGCAATCCCGAATGCATAACGTCCATCCGGGCCGCGGACACGAACAAGTCTTGATTTCTTATACATTAACGCAGCTAGCTCGGCCTACATAAAGATATAAAAAGATGGAGGGTGATAACAAGCTATTTCGAGGTAATATTAACAAGTAGGTAACAGTTGAGGGGTAATATTAATAATTTAGGAAGCCAATGATACCTGCAGTTTTGCCTCCTTTGTAAAGGCATGAGCATTGAATATCTCTATTATAAGACCCACACGGTCCAGCACAGGTTTTCCCCAAGCCCTCTGGTATTAGATGGCATGGGACAAGACATCAATTTGCCAGTCCACCAAAGTTAGAGAAGATTCACAGAAATGTAACTTTTTGGGCCTGATATATAAGTATAACTTGCCTCCAGATTGCGTTGCTGAATCCCAGATAGTATAGCATTAACAAAAATAGCATCCACCTCACCCTGTTTAAGTTACATAGTCAAAATCATCTGCTAAATTGAAACCGATAATGAATCACCAAGAAAAGAAACTACTCCTTTGCCTTTGATTCAGCGGCGTTAAGATGGCATTTGATGTTCTGTACAGTGCCTGGTCCAAAATATGTGTCTGCCAAGTACGAATAAAGAATCAAAACCAAAAATCATATTATACACTTAAATATTTTAACTACACAAGTTATTACAAACTCTACATACAAACATTACAGGTCGTCCCGTGAGTCAAAAAGAAGAATGCTTTCACTACTGTGGAATGGCAATAGATCAGTATATCTTACAATTATTATTTACTTGATGTCTGTAATAAATCTATAGCATGACAGATAGGAGGAAATTAGTCTGAAGGGCTGCACTATGAACAGTCTACAATGTACAGTTTATACTATCTACTCCATTCAGATGTAAACAACTAATTCGAAAGGCCCCGCAAAGCTCTCATAACCTCAGCATTGTTTCAAATTTCGATAAACCGTTCCCTTGTCGGCCCTAAAGCCTACAGCTGTCTGACCCAAAGCTTGGTGAATTATGCATCCAAGGCAGTGCAATTTAAAACAATTGCTAGAAGGTTGCAGATTCTGATTCAAGAACTTAAGTCCAGATTGGCACTACCATTTGGCAAGAGGAAGATTCCAATGATGAAGACAGAGAAAATGTAGTCCAAGACAGTAAAGTTGGAGACAGACCTGCGCGAGCCTTGTGACCTTTCATGGATGGGTTTTGAACAATGATATGGGGAGGCAAAGCCTTATCAAAGAAGTCAGTGTCGAAATACCCATCTCGCTGCTCTTCCAGAGAGTTAGCAAGACAAAGAGCTTCATTGAGCTTTGCCTGTAAAAATTTATCGGGACGAAGACGGGGTTGAACAACAAACAAAATAGGAGGGCTGGTTGGGTCCCTGTTGAAAAGTGACACGACTTCATATGCGTCCTCCTTATTCTGCTTAGATGACTGCGAATAGGGGAGATAAGGAGTCCAAGAGGAAGGGAGGCGCAATTTCGACGAAGCGGAAGGCAGAGACGGTGAAGAGAGGCTGGAGAACGAACGCACCGTAGCTAAGATCTCGTTGAAAGAGCTCAGTGAAGCGCGCATCCCAGAGACGGTTTTCAACATTTCACAAGCAGGGATTATGCGGGCAGAGCATAGGCTTCGCGGGGACTCCAGTTAAGGAGGAACTCTTGTTTTTGTTTTTCATGAAAAAAAGAAGCAGCATATATTAGGCTCAGCTTGTCTTTCTCGGCCGACCTATATTGGGCTCTAATTCCCGGGTGAAGACAATCGCATCCGCGCCTCTATTTTGGGTTTTAGGATCATTGTATTAATTGTACGGGCCTCATTTAGGTCAATAGAATGTACGGGCCTCACACAAAAGCCCAAGATATGAGGTTGTTTTTTTAGCAGCCCAATATGGTCTCAGAGGAGAAGAACGAACCCTTTTCAGAAAATCAAGATTCGTTGCACGCTACACTAAACTTGAAAAATAAATCACATTATTTACTCTCTATGACTGCTATAATTTTTTTAATCAGAAATATGTATTAACGTTTGGTTATATATATAAATATTTGGCATTCATCATTTAGAGAGTGTTTGAATGAAAACCAAACTATAGTTTCAGAAGTGTTTTTACAGTTTACGAAATAAATATATGAAAGAGTTTGTCTCATTTTGTGAAAAAGTACTGAAGTACTTTCAGAGTTATCAACACTCCCTTAATCTCATTTTGTTTGAAGCGCTTATCACATGCATGTTAATTTTATGCTATATTTGTTGAATAAATTCCTGGTAAAAGAAAAAAAAAAGAATAAATAAACGAAAGGAGTCATGAAACTCGTTGTGTTGATTTTAACTTTATTGAGAAAGAGAAGAAAGGGTTTGATTGGGGAATGAGACGTGGGAGAAGTCATGCGGCGACAAACTTTGTCTGTTATGTGTGGAAAAGACGTTGATTTGAAAACCTGTGAGGCGACACTTTCATTTCATTGAATGCCCTTTTTACCCTCCTCCGCCTCTCACTTGTCCGGCCCCTCCATCCCTCATCGCATCGCTTCATCCGACCCCCACCCCCCTCTTCTTTTTTTCCTTCCTTTCCTTTGTTATCGCCCACAGCACATGATTTTTTCAGATTCCTCTTACTGCTTTTTTTTTTTTTGGGGTGGGGGGCTTGGGTCTTCGTCATTAATCCTCTTACTGCGCAGTTGTAATTGGCAGTCACAAGGGCCTTCCATATTTTGACTGGACCATGGGCTCAGCAGAATGGCCCACTCTCTGTTCATCATCCTTGCGAGCGAGAGATCCGTCCTGACAAATAGAAAACGCAGGGAAGAGGCGGGGTGTTGGAGGACGGGGCTGTGCGTATCTTGTTAATGGAGGCTTAGTTGGTTGTAGCTGTAAAACAAAATATTAATCCATTTTTAGGTGATTGACCCGACAAGCACGAGTGTAGCGCCTGCTGATCATATGAAAAGGCGTAATTGAACTAGCTTTATACGATCTTTTGTTTTAGAAAGCAGGGGACATCATCATTAGATCCCAAGAATGTGACAATTCACAGACGTAATATTTTATCTGTCCACAAGCTGTTACGAAGTGACTAAGACGGAGGCTCTCCATTATTGTCAATCTTCCCACTGCTTGCTGTCCACGTTCAGTTCCAATCATTTTTGCAGATTTGGCGTCCAATATAATCATTCGTTCAGCTAACCTGCATGGTCCACATATTTTATCAGCAGCTTGCAGCCAAAACAATTTGAATGCCTGAACCCCTTATCAACCCAGAGGAGGAGATTTGGCGTTCAAACAATGCCCACCTTGTCTATGGTACTCTGCGCAGCTTAACTTTGTTTCCTAACGACTCTCACAATATACTCTCACTTCCTTGAATCAAATACGGATATAACAACCAAAGTAAAGCTCTGTTCGACAACAGTTTTGATTCCTCTTGAACGTATAAAGACGCGCACAAGAGACATAACAGTCTATGTAAATATAATGCTGAGGTTTCTCCATGCATGCACATCCTTAGCGCAAGAACCACCGACAATGCTAATTTGAATGGTTAAAATGAACGATGCGGTGCACATTTATCGCCACCTCCAACCATGCATCATCTTTTTTGACTTCGCCGTATACATGCGCTGCTTTCTTTTGATTTTGTGTCCGTTGTTGCCGTCGGCATGTCACCTTGTATATGTGTTATTCTCTTGTTTCTTTTGCCTTGTTAGAATATTTGGGCTACCATGCGAACTTTTCCTTTATTAAGACATGGAGGGACACGCCCACTTCATTAAAGGCCCCCCCCACCCCAAAAACCAACCACGAAAGGATCCCTTTATTAATAGTGGATATACTGTTTTTTTCATCCACGTACTTTGCTGCCCGTTCTACCTAGGATCTCTCTGACCACAAGCTTACCACGTTGATTTTTCACCTGTATCAAACATCGAACATTTTGAGCTGCCAAGACAACCAAAACCAAGAAGCCTGTAGTGTTTTAACAATTCCATGTTAGTATTTGGACTGTAAGCGATCAATTTGATAACTCTTCATCTCGTTATCTTCTTCCCTCTTTTACATGGCCACAAGAAGAGGAAAAAGAAACGATAGCTCTGGCGCGAACCCAGAGTTTCATGGATTTCACATGGGTATAGGATAAGATTGCCAATTTGACGACCAACATCATTAGAAACGCAGAGTGCTTTGGAAGATGTGAAAGGTTTTCCAACAGGATGGCCTTCCGTAACACACAGGGCGAAATGCTGGGGAGAAAAATGACACGGGTCATTGAGTCACTAATCAGATCACTAAAGTCCTTTTGACGGAACCTGATTTCGCACTCAATTGCTATTGTTTTGAATTAGATAAAGGGAATATGCCTCCTTTAGACAAAGTTTCATGGCAAAGGGAATAAGTAATGATGACCATGGACGTGGAGAGCTGGTAGCCATGACATCACATCTTCTATTTTTTAGGTCAAAGGATTCCTATTTTTTGTCAAAATAAAAGATAGATAGTTATCGACATATGGATAGATCATATCATCATGGCGTTACGTTGGGTTATTGAAACACACTGAACTGGTTTCTGTACGTAAAAGGACCCAACATGGTTGGATATTTTGATTAGGAGCGTCCACATGTTTCCTTAATCATTTTGTCCTTTTTTTGGTCATATGAGTTTTCTATAGCATTGCCGTTTTTCATCAATGACAATTCCACAAAATTTGGCAGGAAGGATTTGAAATTTTGGTAACTCTTTAATCGGAGGAAGCTATAAAGTAAGAACAAAACCTGTGAATAAGACGCCCTTCCCCACTAATTTCACCTACAAGAAGGTCACTGAATCTTCCTTCGTGTATATTGTTCATGCAAAATGCTTCTCAATTTAAAAAAGAACCGGACTAATCAAGCATCTGTCCATGCAGCAAAAACTGGCACATGAGGCAATGAAAGTGGAGGCCTCAAGCTTGTCACTAACGAAGGCGTTTCACTGAGAACTGGCAAGCTTGTTTTATCAGGGCTAACTTTACGTGAGCTGCTCAAGCTTGACACTAATGATGAAGGATTTGAGACGTGCGTTCCCATATTGGTCGGGTCATCTACTTGATGGATCATGTTATCTAAAGGCACTGAGAAGGACTGAGTTCTATAAGTCTCAATTCTTGCTGGATTTTGGTCAAGTTCTGTCATCCACTGAGAACGATTGAACATATGCGTTCCCGGCTTCCACTCTGATGACTGGCCTTCGAAACTCTTGCGCATTGAAATCGCATCCTGGTTTTCAACATATGCTGTACCTATAGGGATGATAGCCCGATCGTTGCCACCATCTATCTCTTTGTTCCGCCTGGCTAGTTCGCCACTAAGAAGGTTACTGCTAGCCATGATTCTTTCCACATCATATCTCGTTATATCGAAGTTGGTCACCGCATTTACTCCACGGAACTTTATAGCAGCAATGTCATATGCCTCAGCTGCTTCCTCTTGGGTACCTAGAGTTTCATTTCAATCACATAAATAAACTTTCCTAGCATTTACATTTGGATTATATTTTTAAGGGAATAGGATTAAAGTTATGAGAATATATATATATATATGTATTCTTCTGCATTCTGAGTCAACAGCCTTATAAAAAGCTGAGTCTCGGGACTAGCTTCCAGCTCTCTATAATATTAAAGTGACTGCAGATCAGCTTTATTGTTGGCTGGAAAGATGAGCTCAAAGAGCTTAGAACACCATCAACACATCAATTACTAGCTTTTGTAAACAACACACGAAACAGCCTCTCAGTCTCCTCCTATTATTGGGAGCATGGTCCAAGAGGACAGGCCAAAAATGAAAATTATTGACAAGCAAAAAGAAAATAAAAGAAAATTAATCAGTGAAATTTGAAAGAACTCACTGAAGGTTCCAAGATATAGATCCTTGTTTCCAGCCACTCTGCCGATTCGAGCTTGCCACCGCCCATGTTGATGATGTCTGCTACCAAGTGAACAATGAGAAACCTCGGTTCAGAATTTAGAGAAAGCTGTCTTTCTTAAAGAAAGAATAGAAATCCTTTTACTCATTAAAACGTTACAGTATGCTACGTAGTTATTCGCAGAGACCTTGTTACTCCTCTGTACATGGAAGCACCTCTGGAGAATCCGCTGCTTTTCCTGAAAAGGGACAGGGCTGAGAGATGTTATGATCATCTAACATGAATATTAATTCAAGATGCTAACGATATGCTCTTTAAATAATAATAACAATAATCTTCAAGATGATGCGATGGTTATAACAAAGGTTTAATACCTCCGCAAGTGAGCCACGTATTCCTGTCTGGTCATGTTCTTCATTTCCTCAAGTTCATTTTGATAATTTTCCAACTGTCAAAAAAAAACCGACGGGAAAAAAGGGGGGGGTAAACTATTATAAGATCATAATTGCATATCAGTAGCAGTTACTGAAATTGGTTTCGTTAGTAGATTACAAGCATGGAAGAGAAAAGGCAGAAGTAGTTAATTATTACTGGGAAATTGATATGAGTGGAGGGTCCCCAATACTTGAGTGCAGCCAGGTCATAAGCTCTCGCAGCTTTTTCTTCCATATCATAACCCCCTGTAATCAAATAATATTTGGATCCACTTGCATAAACATTACTTTTCCTTTTTTGCCAGCATCATAGACAAAAAAACAATGCAAATATGTCTACATAATCTACTAAGCTTTGAGAATTATACTTCAGCAGAAAACGTCGAGAAAGCATACCTAGATAAACTGAGATGCGTCGTTTATTTGAGTCGTATCCCCAGGGAAGCAAAGAATATAAAAACAGTGAGTGAGACATGACAAGAAAAAAATCAGAGCTTTTCAGGTGAACATCGATAGATATGGATGACCAAGCACATCATGGAAACAAACAAACAAACAACAAAAGGCCAAAAAAAAAAAAGCTACTCGCTTGATACATTTTCATTTTCCATACCTTGCCTTCCTTTCCTGCTTTGACCCTCTTTCTTGCAACTGTTGTCCCAAAGATGAGCTTCGTATCTACCAGTCCATCTATGTCTGATAAATTAAAACCCTTTAGACATATAAAGAAATTGAACTGAAATTACGAAATAAAGAAAAATGAGTTTAAGTGGGTCGAGCAGGGTCACGCGCGAGGCAGGACATACAATGTCAAGCAACTACACAAGCAAAGCTCTCAGGCAAATCAATGAACCATGCATGATATAGTTCAAACGTTTAGGTAAACTTTAATTTGATGTAACAGGGCACCACCGGTACAGGAGAAGAACTAACTAACCTTGTTACACCTCTGTATTGGGAGGTTCTTTGGCCAAAGGTATCTATGGATTTCCTGTGAATAATTTGCTTCTGGTCAAACTTTTCAGGTCCTCTTTTCTTTGTATCCACGCCAACAGAATCAATGACAGAAGGCGATGCTCTCTGTGAACTTGTGACACAGCTTGATTGTGAGCCAGAGCTCATGGACAAGCTCAGTGACTGCAAATCGCCATACGCCATTGATCCAATGGATCCAGACTCGCCACCATTGTTATCCTCTACGCTAACCATCATCTCTGACTCCGATGCATGACCAGCTGGGTTGATTCTCATGCCCCAGCCCTTCATTCCAGAAACTCCCTCCTCTGCAATACTTGGGACCTGGACATTACAGTCTGAAACCTCATTTTGTTTGGGCCCTTCTAACATCATTTCTTGACTTGTGAAGCCAGAATAGTATGTTGCGAAAGGCTGAACCTGAACGTCTTGGCCTTGTTCGACGCGGTTTACATAGTTTGGGTTGTTGAGTTCTCGGCGTGAGGATTGGTTGGCGAAAGTCATGCTGTCTAAGCTCAAGGTCCCCATTGTTGAGCTGCCCAAGAAATTCTCGAGTTTCGGGGCTGAAGTCGATACCATTCCTGCACATGTTCAATAAGCAGGGGAAAAAAAAAAAAGTCAAGAGACACCACACGAAAGAAATGAAGTGTAGAACAAAACTTGTGGCAGAAGTTTGAATTAACCTTGAGGTTGTGACTGCATTAGATAGAGAGAGCCGTCAGATTTCAGGGGCATGACAGGAAGAGATGAATAGAAGGCGGCATTTTCACCTTCAAGAGCACCATAATAAATGCCATAATTAGGAGGAAGGGGCATGGAGTGATAGAAGCTCGCCGGAACTGCATCTGCAGCGGCAGAGGAAGGCCGTGTAACTTGTTTGCCTTGTTGATCATTACAGTGGGAAGGAACATCTAGATTCATGTGAGGGGAGAGAGAGAAACCCAACCAGTTGTTTTCATGACCATGGGTGTCATCATTCTCCGCGGACTTCATCTTTCTCTGTCTCACTTGTTCACCTATTATTAGATAATAGATATTCTAGCCAAGCTGGTCTTAAGGCTAGGCAACTCAATCATGGGGAAATATATTTTCTCTGCTCTCTAGCTTTCCCTCCATTTGGAACGAGGATTTTTTTTTTTTGGTTAAGATATATATCTCTTGATTGTAGCAGAAGCGACCAAACCAAATCTAACCATCCAAATGATGAAATCTAACTCCTGAGAGCAACTGAATCCAAATGCTCTGTCCCCCCCTCTCTCTCTGGGGCTGGCTCTGTTAGAGGTCCGTATATATGTTTGTCTCTTTGGACAGTATTCTAAAGGGAAGAAAGCAGGTTCCTTTAAAATAAACAAAAAGAATGTGTTGCAGGAAGCTATGTTAGGCATCCTTCCCGCATTCCATGGGGATCCGTGTATGAGAAAGACCTGCTCTTTTGCTTTATCCTACGCTCCCACACCTTCTTCTTATCTTCTCTTCTTTTCTCCTTAAAAATAAACGTAACAAATAGTTCTTAAAACTTAAAAGCCCATTAAAGAATTAGCATCCAACAAAACCACAAGAACCACCGATACCTCCTGGATCCCCAAAAACACAGAAAGCAGGGCCCTTGTTTTGTCCTCAGGACAGAGCATCCAAGCAACTCGCCTTCCCACTTCAAGCTGGCCCGAGGAAAAGACTTCATAGTCCACCACACACTCTCTCTCTCTCTCTCTTTAAATTTACTGATTAGTGGGTGCACAGTATTGATGTACTCGAGCTTATTACTTTAGCTTTTAATGCCTCGCAGTAGCTGAGGACCTTGCTCAATTAGATTTTCACGGGCACAATACCATCTGTCCCTCCAGTCACCTCATTTCTGGACGCGTATACTCATCCCTCTGGACCTACGTAACCTTCCCTCTGAGGTCTACGCATCTGAATTCCACCCTCTCCCCTCGTCGTTTCACCATCCATCTTATGTAATCACCATCACCTCTCTTTTCCCATTATTCATTGCAAATTATCCGCAACTGTCTTCATTTCCGAAGTCTGCTTCTTAAATTAAATTTTTAAACTGCGGGGGAGAGAGTGTTTGACTTTTGTGTACGCTGTACAAAAGTTGAAAAAATGCGCACCAAAAGATAATGCCCCTTAAGCTTAAGACTCTCTCTTAAAAAAATAAAAATTATTATCGATGTGTCACTGTGTCAGCATGTTTCGAACATATCCTGACACTATATGATGATTTGTACAAAGATACATAGAGGGTCAAGGAAATATTCGTAGCTTCGGCTCATGCTCTGCTTCTTGACATCAGAGGAATATACAACGCAACGCCACCACAACCTACTTCAAGCGGAACGTGGTTTTTGGGTGCATGGAACCATACTTTTCATACTTTTCTTAAGGAAAAAGAGAAGGATATTTGCCATAATTTGTTTTCTATCGCAAAATTAGTGAAACTTGCAATAAAAAATTCATAAATTCGCTACGCAAATGTCAGAAAAATGCCCTAAATACTCTGCAAAAGCATGTGCAAAACAGTTTGCTGTGAGTTTTTAATGTCTATTGCTAGAGACTTTTCCGTTGCGAATTATTTGCCGGCGGTAGTTAGGCAAAAAAGAACTTATCCCTGTCTCTTTAAGAGGTATATATCATTTGCGATCATTCAAAAACTAATCAACCATCATCGTTATGATTGACTGAGCTCACCCCACGAAAGAGTTCATGGCTTCATGCACAGAGTAAAGGAGGACAGTGCTATCTTATAATTTATGCCTCTGGGGTAACTAGGCTCGGTGTTGCTTGGCGATAGCTGAGGTGCAATAAACAGTGTGAGATTTTTTCCTTTTTTTTTCTACTGTGGTTTTAGGATGGGCATGATTACGCCGGAACTTGGTCAACATTTGCATCAAGACAAAAAGCGAGAGACGGGAAGGGGATTCACCAAAAGCAAAATTGGAAATTAGCAAGCGGGTTATGTCGTTCTCGTATTAGCGTAATCATTATGGGAAAAACAAGTGTCTGTGACTGGAATGAAAACAATAATACAATGAACGGATGAATTTTATAGTGAGGGAGGGATGCAATTCCAATTAAGTAAAGATCGAACTCGGAAAAAGTTTTAATGGGTAAAGCTTGTTATATAGCCATGAGACGCAGTTTTTAATGTTAATGAGAGTGCCCTGATCTGGCGGCTGTCACGAATATAATATAAAGCAGCCTGCCACTTTTGAGATGGAGAGAAGAAAAGATGAAAAAATAAAACTTCTTACGCTTAGGGATGAACATTGCCCTCTTGATCAAAGTACATAATATTCCTGAAATGATTATGTGAAGGGCCCTTCACAAACATACTTTCGTTTGGTACATGCATTTTTTAATCATATTCACACTTGAATAATTAAAGCCTTAACCATTGTTTAATTAATTCCACTGCGATAAAGTTCTGGCTTTGCTTAGCCTCACTCCTGCAAATACGAGAATGCAAGATGGATTATACCCGAAAAAGCAAAAAGAAAAGGAAACAGAACCAATGATAACGGGATCGCTTCAGAGTCATTCGCCCCCATATTTGGAAGTATAAAAAACATTGAAATTTTGGGGAAAAAACACACCGTCAACAATTATTTATTTCTTTACTTTATACGTTGAACCCTATCGGCGTGTCTGATATTCCAAAATTCAAAAAGAACGAGAAAGGCATCGAGTTTGAACAATCTGGAGTTCCTTTCACTACAGTTTACAAAGCAGAGGAAGGAGGCATTTCTTTCCGACCCTACTCGAGGACTAGATGATAGATGATGAAAAGTGAGATGTTGGTCAGTAATATGTGAGCATTTTAAAAAATAGAAAGGGAAATTGAAATGGGTATTCTCTTTTGATCGGGGTCATCATTGGTTTTGCATGCAAATTTGGGTGACCAGGTTCATGGGGACAGGAATTCAAGAGGGAATGATTTGGCTGGAAAAACTAAAAAGAGATGGAGAATGGGGAGTTTGGAAGCGAAAGAGAGACGTGGCACAGAAGCAACAAAGAGAAAGAGAAGTCCTTTTTTGATTGTGGGTAATAATGAGAATATCCTCCACCTACCAAAGCACTTTGAGCCCAATAGCATGTTTGCCTTAATTAGTCTTCTCTTACTCTGCTTTTCCCATCTCTGCTTTCTTTTCATTTCACCCTTTCCTTTTGGCGTCGAAGACTACGTCGCTCTCCTTTTCTCACTATTTGACACCCCCCCCAAAAAAAAAGTCCTTACCTCCCAATCCAATAGCAACTAACCGTAATTCTTGATTATATCATTTCAGGCTATTCAAATCAGGCCATAATCATTCATTACCACCTCTTAACATCAAACCGCTTTATTCCAAACACCACACACATTATGAATAACTCGACTGTGTTTAGAATTTAAATTCATCATCGTTATATTTATTTGAGATTGTAGGGCTATCCAATCCTGCAATGGACACAAATCATGGAACGTTTTTGTTTAGGCCAAAGCGGTTGGAGAAAAAGAGGTCTCTCGCCCACAGCGGAGACCAAGAAAGCAAGGCGAACAAGCCAGTCATGTGACCAAACACAATTTGTCTAGGTGGCTTGGGACTCAAAACCTTCTTGGCAACATGTCTGGCAAATATTGCACCATCCATGGCTTTGTTACCCTGGGAAGCCCTTGCTCGTTCCGTTATAACATCCTTAAACTCCTTATAAAGCTTCCATTGGTAACTCCCCACTTTCTCCAAATTGGTGCTCCCCAAATTGGACCTGACGGCCCCAGGCAGAACCTGAACAACCTTAATCCCAAATGGCCTGAGCTCAAGACGTAAGCTATTAGACATGGCAATCACGGCAGCCTTGCTAGCACAGTAAGAGCCTGCCCACGGAGTAGACACTGTGCCCACAATACTCCCAACGTTCACTATGCTCCCACTTCTACGCAAAGCCATGTGGGGGACCACATGTTGCACCAACCTTATTTGCCCCAAAGTGTTGATTTCCCAGGCCTTCCTAATTGCATCTAGGGGCAGCTCAGCTAGAGGGCCTGTGCTACCTATCCCAGCGTTATTAATCAGAATGTCTATGCGTCCACACTTGGACAGCACAGTGTCCATGGCCGATCTCACGCTCTCATCACAACTCACATCGAGCTCGACTGTGTCTATGTTGTCTGACTTCAAATCCAACATGTCTTGCATCCTATGTGAGATGTCAGACGCGAAAACTTGACAATTTTGCCCTGCAAATGCCCTGCAGTACTCATATCCAATTCCACCCTTGGCACAGCCCGTCACTAGAACGATTTTGCGGTCACTCATATCTGTTTTTCTCCCCCTTATGATACACCTAATCAGTAATCGCCGATGACGAATCTCATCGTCTTGGTCTCTTATATGGAATTGCATAACAAGGATGTCGACTCGTTTATAATGAACGAGCCGTCTAGTTCTTGTTTATTGTTCAATTATATTGTTCCTCTCTGGTTTGCGTGGTTGGGGTGCAGAATATTCTTCGCATAGTGCACTTCTGATGTGTCTAGGGATTGGAAGTCATCGTCAGGCCGGCTACGAAGGAGTTGTTTTCCATGTGGCTTTAGTGGGAACGAGAACGATGTCATGCTGACACTTTCTACTTGGCTTTTGGTCACAAAGATGGCTCCACAAGGACAGGACATTATCAGCTTTAAGGGAAAGCTGCCGGGAAGATCATCTAATATGGAAATAGCACCATTCAGATTATTTCACGTTGATCAAGTTAAATTAAAAGCAAGCCTAAAATTTCCGTCCTCGGTTTTTATGCTGCGATTTCTTACCTTTGCTGGTAAACTCAATGCTCGGTCTTTATTCCATGAAAAACACGCATGCAAAACAAATGCGAAAAATAATGAACAGAGAAAGGGGAACTGGATGGATAGATAGCTACCTGTGGGATGACCACGTCTGGACCTGTTGAAAACCGTAGTGTGTGAGGATAGGGTCTGCATGCACTTTATCTTTTTAAGGGAAAGTATTTAAGTAAGCCTTTCATGGAACCCGATGGCATTTTTCCTGCATCTACTCTTAGCCTCATTACTGTCTTTTACAGTTTTGCTTGATTTTACCCTACGCCCAGCCAATTTCCTCTGTTTTTCAGGCATTAATGTTGCATGCCGTACCCTTGGATAAGAACCTCTTTATGACCCCCTTTAATTTCTTGTCTGCACCCTGCAACATTCAAAATTTCCTTTCCCTTTTCCTTTTTCACCCTCCCAATTTTCATTCAACTTATGCAACCCAATTTCCACCGGCAAGTTCCTTCTATTTTATCATTTAGTCTCATATTTAAGTTACTTTCACTCGCTGGTCAAAAAAGAAAAAAGTTACTTTCGCTCAAAATGCACTTGTTTAAGATGGGCAGAGATTCTGTACTCTGAGTCTGGCGTAGTGGAGTGTAGCTTCTAGCCCTGCAACGAAGACCTTACTTGATTGCCTTCACTGGGAAAGAAGAGCCCTTGGATACTGCAGGAGAGGGGGAAATAATTGACCCCATTTTTACTAAAGCCTACCTTTCAGTTAATATATTCACACTCCTAGAGATCCCTATATTGTCTGAAAGAGACTAAGGGCGAGAAAGTTCCATCAGATTTCAGAATATCCAATTGGTAGGGTGGTTAGTGGGGTTTAAAGTTCTCTACATTATTCCAAAGCTTCATACTTGATTGACAGGTCGAGACACCAATTAAAATTGTAATTAACTAAAATCTACATAGTACGATAAACTAATACATAATCTCTAACGCTTGTGTCATCAGCAACGAGATTGATAAACACATTTATTAGAATGAATTTTCTTTCAAACATTATCTGCAACTAAACATTGAACTAGTTTAAACTAATTTCTGATATATTTTTATCTCATTCTCCCATAATTCGGAATTAAAAATTCAAACTCCAAGTCCCCCCGGGGGAGGGGAGACGACACAAAGTTACAAATCAAAAATTAAATTTTAAAATATAAAGTAAAAATAAATTATTAATGGGAACAAGAGTGATGGTGTGGTAAATATTTTGATTCTTTTTTCCTGTTTTGCCATTGATTGTTGCCTCTGTCTAATCAGTAACAATAAATGATAATCCATCCCCGCATACTCAGGTTATCCGCTTCCGGACCTTTTTCTTTCCCCCTTCCATGAAATTAATGTACTTTCAATTTATTGTATGAGGTAAAAGCCATACCGTTTATATTATAATCTGTCAAAATTTTTATGTTATGTATATTTATATTGCCGTTAGCCCCTTCAACATTTCGGAATCAAAATACAAGCGTTGAGAGAATGTTGGTTTTCTTTAATTGGCTAATTATTAAAAAACTTTTGAATTATCAACATCAAAAAATAAATCTTTTAACAGTTTTGCTTTCACTCCTGCAGGAGTTGGTGACATGATAAAAGAAAATAAGAAAATTTCATGTGATATAAAAATTAATTTGACTTTTAATTTAATCCTAAATATAAAACCCTAATCTACTTTGTTTTTTGTATCTATCCATATATTTCAAAATAGTCCTCTTAGTAATAATTACACATGTTAAAGATTTTTATTAAATGATAATTCTAGCTAATACATATAATTAGTAGAAGTATTCTAAGAAAAACAACACCTATTTATTGTAAATACCTAACTTAACAAATTGTCTTAATTTACTGAAATTAGTTAACTAACTCTTATATTAAGAAGAGGATAGAATGAGCATAGAATATATAAGGCGACTCTTGTATCCTGAAAGAGATGATCAGCGGCTGCCAACAATTATAGGCAGTTTGACCGAGACTCAGCAATACTGTTTACTCCACCCTTCATTCCTTCACGCCAATATCTCATTTCACTCAGAGACATGTAAGGATTTGCACCATCTCAGAGAATAAATACACAAGACCCGTTTCTTGACGCGTGAAAAATCAAAGGCTTATTTTACGCTACGATTTTGCAATTTAAGAGACGACGCAAGCACCTAAAGAGTTTTGTTATGGCATATTAGATTTTACGCAATTCCCCTCCCCTTTCGGCACAGCCTAGTTGCGTGAAACCTGCTATTTGAATACGCACAACTCACTAGTCCCTATCTGGAATTCTCTCAAGTTCATAACAGTCTCCACCTCTAACCGAAAGAATCATAAAGTTCAAACTGCCAGATTCGTTCTTTGGTTATATCAAGCAATTAGGAAAAGAAAATGTCAAATTTGAACCCTGAATCCTAGGTCAACGTAGAAGTTCCCTAATATTATTATCTCAAATCGTTAGCCACTAGCTATCATCAGGTTATGTATATGACAATACGCAGTTGTAAGAAAAAAGTCTTCCAGTTATACAGTATAAGGTTTGTGATTATGCAGAAGGAGCCTTGCAGCAGACATCAAAAATATCATCCAAAGGAGCATGGTCACCTGTGCCTTCATCCTTCCTCGCATACAACAGCTGCCTTCCTTCGAATACCAACATTCCTCCCTGACATAAATTAATAACTTATCCATATAAGGCGGACTAAAAAACAAAAGCAAACCATTCAAGGGAATTAAGAACACAGCAAAGTTTGTTCTAGTCCGGTCCTACAATAGAAACCTGTTGCAAGACACCACTTATATCATCCGGGGTGGCTTCAATCGTATAGTTTTTCAATGCCTTCCGAAAAGTATCAGATCTTGAGAACACCTTTGCCTGAAATATCAACGTTTTGTTGGAAAGATACACGTATTAGACAACAACTCAACAGTCTCTTCAAATCGTATACTTCACAAAGGTCTGAAGTTTACACTGGCGGGGTTGAACAATGTACGACCAACTCCATAGTATAGGTCCAAAACATTATATGCCTGGAAGAGACAAGCATTTGTTAAAATAAAAATTCACAGAAAAATGAATCCTGATAGATGAGTGCTTAGAGTGCCAAACACATTACCTTGCGCTCAGGGTCCGCATATAGACAATCCATTGGAAATGGTAACTGAGCACAGGATATTAGGTCAATAAGAAAATATCAGTCTTGAGAGCAACGTGTCCATGACGACATGAAATTATCAAATACTAAGCATGATGCTTGAAGAACACTTAACAAAATTAAATTCTTTATGGATACTAGCCAATCACCAACACCTAGCTAGCGTGTTCAGATGCTACAACTAAACTAATCAGGGCCGTGATTTACAGGCATGAAAAATCCTTATAAGCTTCAACAATAAACAGGAAACTCAAATGTCAGCAGTTATTTTAATGACAAAAATAACTGGAAATGCAATAAATTGGGATGCGACTGGTTATTACTTATAATTAATTCTCGAATCCAATCCCCAATTCCGACAGAAGCAACGGTGAACTCTTAATCTTGTCATTGTCTATGGTTTTCATAGTTCAAGCATTTTCAGAACACCACTAAATCCTTTATAGGATTACGAGCAAAGTCTTCCAACCATAATTTCAGCCACTCATGAAAAAGGGTCAACACCTCCCATTCAAAATTAAAAAAAGGGTCTCTTTTGCTTCTTATAGCGTGAATTATTGCCAGCAATATGTTGCAATGATAGATTATGGGAGAGAGAAATTACTCGTTCAGCAAGTATACGAGCTTTATTGGGAGTGCCAACACCCACTGCAATTAATTTCACACCAACTGAATCGAACCTTGATTTGTATTCCTTCAGGGTTGAAGCTAATTCCCAACTACCAACAAGCACAAGTGTAGAAAAGTCGTAATAACTAGCTTCACAGAAACAAGACTTAACGATGGCCAAAGATGAAGATCAGTTACCAGCAAACGCATCCGAAATGCCTTAGGAGGGCCACAACAGCTAGTCCCTAGGAAGAATTTAAGAGCGGGTACCAAAAAGTTATTGCAGAATAACAGAGATTTAGGTCTCAATATTTAGAAGAGAACATATCCACTCAACTTGCTAATTATGTTTTAGAAACATTAATCATGAATTGAAGGTGATGGCAAAGCTTCTGTATATGACTAAACTGATGTATGGTAATACTAAAAACAATCAAATATGCTAGATTCATATTTTGATTGCCAGAGTTATAATGTTATATTTGTATCAGTCTTTTATCATGAGAAGTGGACTTTTGACCGGGTTGTCTGAATAATTATTTTCGAACTTCAACATGAATAATGAACTTCGGGGAGGTCCGCCAAAAAGAAAAATAACAAGCTTTGGGCAGATTTCACCTGCGTTACATAATCATCTATATCGGACGTAATGTTGGCACACAAAACAAAGTTACTTGGCAGAGTTCAATCAAGAAAGCAATTTTTGACGATGCAAATTTTTCAATGACAAATCCCCGCTGATTATCCAAAAAATCGAATGTTAGATTAGGAGGACACAGAAGGAGTAGAAACTGGGCTAAAGATACCGACCTCATTCTGATCCCAGAGATCCTTGAACATCACTGGCTCACCAGCAGCAGTGAAAATGGTGACATCACCAAGACTCTCGGCAATGTTTGGTGTGTATAGCGAGGTGGAGGCTGAAGCTCTTGCAACTAGACGCGCTTTTCCACCAACAACAGCGGAACCACTTTTTTCAGGGAAGTAAGTTGGTACGCACGAACTAGGAGTTGAAACAGAGAAACAAGGGGGAAAGACCCCAGAAGACACGAGGGGTCGAACCGGTGGTCGCAGAGACACTAAATTTTGAGCAAATGTCAAAACCATGTCGGTCTGAAAAATTTGGTATTCTCCAGAGCATAGACAAGTTGTGCCACGGAGCGAAGCGAAGTGGCGTGAGCGTGAGGCCCTCCCGTAATTCCCATATCCCAAAAATTTGGCAGGAAGACTGATCAAAACGTGTGAACAGCAACTCTTTCAGTCAGCATCCACCTCCCAGACGTGTACGGTGTAAGATGGATCACCGTCATCTTTTTTTTTTTTTTTGCATAGTGCACCCAGTATCCTGTGCCAGTCACAGGACACGGAAACTTAATGGGCCAGATTAATCAAGGTTTAAGACATGACAGGAGTTATTAAGATTGACGTCCCTAGTCCTAACATACTGCATTCCCACACATCAACTTGAGACCCGTAATTAAATGGAAACGGCTCTTACCAATCGATTCAACCCTCACGGTTACCGTCATCCTTTTTTCAGGGGCATAAAGTCTAATATCTTTCTTTTCTTTAAAATTTGTATTTATAAAATATAAGGAAACTAATAGAACTCAGAAATGTGGCGCCATTTTATTGTATTCCTGTTCAGCCGAGTAATAATTATGTTTGTTTCATTAATTATTAATTTAATTATGTTTGTTTGATTAATTATTGATTTCATAGTTTAGCTCGTCATAAATACACACAAATATTAGGTATGTTTATGCAGTATTTTATAATTTAGATGATAGTTGTGCCTTTCACTAGGATTAGGGTGTTGTTTGATCGCCATTACTAGCAGAGTCGCATCTCGCATGCATTACTTGAAAAGTTCAACTGTTGAAAGGTGTGATATGCAGATATCTTCTGACCAGTCGTGAAAATTACATCCATGTCCAGACAATGGGTTCCTTCGGAGCTCTTGGTATTGCACCGCCCTTTGGTAATTTCATCCTTCACTGTCTTTTTTCATTCATGTTTACTCATTTGCCGTAACATATTTTTCAGGCTCAATTCAGATTAGGAACGAGTACTTGGCGAGCTCTCCCAATGAACCAAGCAATCAACCTTCCCATGATGTCCCAAAACGGATCCGACCATACGCCATTAACTTGAATTCCAAGTTTGATTGACGTTATTTCCTGGAAGGCTCGTGCACTTCTTCATATGGTTTACGTTCTATGGATATTCTTTTTATTTGGAAATCATAAACTCAATGCAGTATAATGATTCCTGCCTTTATTTACATTTTATGTACCAGTCATGCTTGAAAAAAGATTGCATTTGACAATTATACAGCCAGTCTTTAACAGGCTATATATTTGACAACTCATATTTTCTACGAAAAGGAATTCCTTTAACAATGGGGCATTCGAAAAGCTACACAACATAAAGGCCCATGCAGCGAGGCGCATGGGTTCAAAATTGCCGGCGAGAAATCCCACCGCGTGTAGGCGCAGATGAAGGAAGGCATAACAATCAGTGGAACAGAGCTCAGGCAACAGGAGCAGTGCAGCAGACAATAAGAACATCATTCAATGGGGCATGGTCGCCTGTGCCTTCGTCCTTCCTCGCATACAACAACTGCTTCCCTTTGAATACAAACATTCCCCCCTGCCATCAAATTAACAATTGATAAAGCCATGACAGCAATTATCAACACAACTAATTCCGTTCTGGTCCTTCTATGCCAGACATGGATTAACAAACCTGTTGTAGCACGCCGCTTCTATCATCCGGAGTGGCTTCAATCGAATAGTTCTTTACTGCTTCTCGCAAAGCATCAAATCTCGACAATACCTTTGCCTGCAATATCATAGTTCAAGGTGAACATATATGTATATTTATAAGGCAACCCAATGATCCTTTTGAAGTATGTACTACATAGAAGAAGTCTGAGGTTTACACTGGCTGGGTTGAAGAATGTGCGGCCAAAACCATAGTATAGTCCGAAAAGATTATATGCCTGAAAGAAGGAAGCATTTATTACTCCAAATTCACTTAGAGATGAGCCCTAAAGGTTGAGAATTCAATGTGCTATACGCATGGTACCTTGCACTCAGGATCCGCATAAAGACAGTCCATTGGGAATGGCAGCTGAAAAAGAATATCAAGTCATCAAAAATTCAAAATATAGCAGCTTTGAGTATTGACATTAGGAACATATCCATAACAACATTACACAAATTGTCACTTACGAAGGTCTCTCAATCTAACAGAAATGATGAAGGGATTAGTTAAAAGACATTTAATTATTGAGATCCAAATTCTACACCAATCCAGTGTCAAAGAGGGGGCACTTATTATAGTTTGTGATATAAATAGTATGACTTCAATGAAATAAGTGTGGGCAAGCATTTGAACCATAATGCATTAAAGACTAAGCAAGAGTGCATGGCCCTAGCTCAGATCTTTCTTTTTTCTTTTTCTTTTTTCTTTTTTTTTGGTTCAACCCCTACCTCAGAGATCACTCCAACAAATATCATCGCTTGATACCATCCTGTCACCAATATCCACCTAGTTCGATATGATGCCACAAATAAAATAGCAGGCATGCCATTTCCAAAGCTTAAAAATGCTATCGTCTCCAATTCTAATGGGAGATAAAATTCAATGCCATCGCGCCTAATTCTCATAGTTCAAGCATGTTCAGAATATCAATAATGAATTATTGGTGGACGTCAAAAAGAAAGATCAACAGAAAGAATTCAAAGAGATACTCGTTCGGCTAGGATTCGAGCTTTATTGGGAGCACCAACGCCCACTGCAATTAGCTTCACACCAGCTGAATCGAACTTTGATTTGTATTCTTTTAAGGTTGAAGCTAATTCCCAGCTAAGAACAATATGCACAAGGGTAGAGAGTCAAATTAACAAGCTTTATGGGGCTAAAAAAGGGGGGCTTCATGGTTTTGGCCCGAGGTGAAGATAAGTTACCAGCAAGGGCATCCGAAGTGCCTTAAGAGGGCCACGACGGCTATTCCCTGAAAAATTCAAGGGGAAGAACAAACCGTTATTGCACAGTAACCGATTTTGAGGTTTGTAAAATTTAGAAAACAGTACATTCCATCGAGCTGCTGGCTCTGGTTTTCATTCATTTATATGTGAACAAGTTAATGTGTCACATTAACGACAATAATCATCAAATTTGCCGGATGCATTTTTGAATTTCCAGCGATGTCATTTTCTTTTTGTATCAGAATTTTCATTTTGGGAAGAGAGCCTTGTTAGGATTAACGATGAGGTATTATTTTCTGACTGCATGGGTGTTTGGCAACCCTCAAAAATGTTTCTCATATTTACTTCATAAACTGTGAAAACACTTCTAAAACCATAACTTGGTTTCTATCTAGCGACTATTTCGCGGTACAAACTCACATCAGACAGGAGCCACCAGCTAGCATTGCAGGCCATTATTCAATATTACAAATTTTGGTCCCCAGTATCAAAAGCTAACAAATTGTAAGAATCCTCATGCATCGGGTTCACTGTTTAATATATTCAACAATTTTATATATATATATATTTTTACAAGGCAAGAAAACTTGATTTAGACGCTCATGGTGGATGAATTAGCTAAAGCCATGTCATCCTGCAATCGGTTTATACAGTCCAGAGGGGGTTCAACAATCATATTTTAAAGTTTGATAATTCCTGACTGACCCTCGCACGAAACCAAAGCTAAGACAACTAAGCATTCTATCAACCATGGGCGAAAAAGAGAGGGAGCATACACGGAACGAACGGTGCTGACCTCGTTTTGATCCCAGAGATCTTTGAACATGACGGGTTCGCCGGCAGCAGTGAATATGCTAACATCCCCTACATCCTCCGCAATATTGGCACTGTATTGCGAGGTCGAAGCTCTCGCAACCATACGGTTTGTTCCTCCAACCACATCTGAACCCCTGTGGTGAGAAAGATACCTAGCTGCAGCTAAGGAAGCACGTGATTTACGAGGCGAGGTTGCAAAACAATGAGAAGAGACAGTAGCGGAAGGAAGAGATGGCTGAATCAATGGCGGCGACCGTAGAAAGGTTTGCGCAGATGTTAAGACCATGGTGAGATCAATCGAATCAACCTAAACCCTAGAGTTGGAAGATAATCGTTATTTCAAGGTGCTGAGGAGCGCAATGGAAACTCAGAAATTTCCTTCTTTGTGGGTTGTGGCGTCAAACGGTCCAACGATTCGTGAAAGTAACGATAACCACGTAGGCCCTATATTAATCTTTTAATTTTTCCGGCAAGATAAAGAATTAAAATTTTTAAATTTTTCACTTGCGAGATTAGGAAGGGACCCCCAAACTTAATTTGGGGAAAACATGAGACTCCCGCCACACATCTTTTGATTGGAACTTGGATAATTCTTCAAACCCATTATTAAACTGTTTTTCCCCGTGTTTTCAAATTGCTGGCCTGTTTCATTCAATTGTTAAGGTGAAATTGATCATTGCAAAAACAATTTTTGTCAGTCAAAAGAAAGAAAGAAAGAAAAACACTCTTTTTGTTAGCCACGGAATATGGCGTCCCCAAACTGCTAACATGAAAATAATCAAAGAAAACCTTGTTCCACAATCATCGCAGCGCGACACCAGTAAAGAATTAGAAGATTCAAACTGAATGCGAAGAGGAGGCTCAGACACGCACAAACGCGGTCATCACAAAGCAAAAGATTTTTGCTCTGGAATTTGGTCCTTTACCCGAAATCCAAATCTGAATCGAGAAATTTCGGTCATCCCAGCCTCGGCTCTAACAATCCCGAACAAAGACAATCTTCGATCCAGAACAGAATCAAATTTAAGGCAAAAGAATCACTAATTCATCGAAAATTCATTCAGTTTTTTGGACTGACATCAAAAATTCATAACTCAGTATAACAGAATCAGAAAAAAGGATAGGGAATGAGAGGAAGGAGACATCGTAGATGGGTGAACTGACAAAGTGTTCGTCATTTTCATCCTCAAACAGAAAACCCTAAAAATACGACTCACTTTATAGGCTCAGGCCACCCGTGAAGTGGCCGGATTAATACGAAGTCAGAAATGTTTGGGCCACCCCGAGGTTAAGCCCATGACCGCGACGGAATTAGTCTCATTAGGCATCCCTTGATGGGCTGAAAGCATGGGCTTGACGATTTTTGTACCAAAAAACAAAAGAAAGCATGGGCTTTAGCTTCAATTTTTCACTCTCGAGACTCAAGTCTCAACTCCAGAATATTCCCTCACATAACTTTAGTTTGAAGTTCTGAAATAAACAAGTTTAATAAATGTTGGGCTAAGTTAAGAAAGATATGATCATCCTTGAGTCTTGCAGTCGGAATTTTATGACACAAAAGGAAAAAATCACAAGTTGTTTGACTATATAATGAAAAGTTAACTGTGAATTAATAAACTTTGGGAGTGAATAAATTTTCACTCGATAGTTAAACATGTTTGGATTTGAATTTCAAGATGCGTTCTTATGTATCTGGCAACCACAGATGACAACAGAATCAAATTCAGTCATGCTAATAGTTTAAAGTCCTAATTCCCATTAGGTGTTAGAAAAATACAGGGTTGCATGATGGAGAAGGAAGCCTCTTTAAATGAGCAAACATGATGGGGTCTTTGACATTTCAAGCAGAACAAGGGCACACCGTGCGAGCCCCACTCTTGTCAAGTTACTAAATACTAACATAACTTGCTACACAAGTTGAATTGTCACTTCACACTCCTAATTTGCCACAATCTAGGAAAGGGATGAAATGTTTAGATACTCTAAAAGTATTCATGAAAAGCACCTAGAACTTACAAGTTTTTTTCTCCTCTTATACGTTTTAGAAGTTTATTTTATAACACTTTTGTTCTAAACCGTTGTCTATTGTTAAATTTAACCGTTAAAAATACTAGTTAAACCATATAATTTGATAGCAAAACTTAACAGCGAATAGCGATTAGGGTATTTTTGTTACGAAAATAAATTTTCAAAGCATATAAGAGGAAAAAAAAATTCAAACACTGAATACTCTTTTGTAAATATTTTCAAAGTACTTAGGCACCTCATTTCATTTTGGAAAAGTATAACACCCCCGCATAAGATTTTAATTGGGGATTTTGTCTTTGTCTGCTTTTGCAATTGAATGCCACCACCAATCCACCATCAATGCTCTCTCAAATTCCAATCAAAGAACAAAGTCATCAATTCCAAAATGTTCGGGTTTTAAATTTTGCTCCTCAGTGACCATAATAAAATGTTATCCAATAATTAAAAGTATGCCTTTTTCTTTTTTGCAACGAAGGAGGGGCGAAATTGAAATTAAAATTTTAAAAAATTATTTATGACAGCTTCGCTTTATATGGAGGACCAAACATGGCTTTTAGAATCCTTATGATCAGGATCAGAATAGTAATTAGCATCCTTCCTCTTCACGCCTCACCTAAGATGATTCTACGGTTAGGGAGTGCAAAGGACGCAGGGTATATTTTGACTAGCCCTTTATGCACAGGAGACCTAAGACCGGAGCATGATGAATCCAAGAAGAAAGGTGCATTGAAGCGCAAGCATAGCGTTTTCTTGGGAGGACAAGCTTGGAGTTCCAAAAGCCCTTCCCAACTGTACAGGATCAGAAGAAGCCGTTCCTTGGAAATCATGTTCCATAGCATCACAACCAAGACAAATGACAACAGCAACTGAGAATCATTTGGACGAGAGCTCAAACAAAACGCTACCAAGTGAAGAAATGAAGATTCCCCCGCCTCCTTGTCGGCCTTCTCAACCGCCTCCTCGCAGAAGCACTTTCTGGGAGGGCTTCAGGAGGCAACCAGACCCCTTTCTGGAGGCTTACAAGGAGTGTACCAAAACTCCAACACTCGACACCAAGACGGGCGTTGGGTTTAATTCCAAAACAAGCAATACCAGAGTTAGTTTTTCATGCAAGAGTTCCACTGATGCAAGGGAAGATCATTTTCTGAAGCCATGTACGCCCCCTCCCCTTTCACATCCCTCTTTTAGTACTAATACATTAATGAACCGCATTGGATCGATTACATCAGTTCTCGGTCTCGTAGCACCCCATTTTGACTTGATTGTTCTAGGTTATCTTCCGTTTTCGTTTCACCATCCTGTGTTGCAACTGCTGAATAAATAAGTATTTTGCAAGAGTTAATCACCGCCGCAATCTTGTACTGATAGGAAACTGTGACTTTAATTGTCCGACCACTAACTGACGAGTTTCTTTTTCCTCAGTCAAGTCTCATCGTCGCCGTATTTAATGAAAAATAAGATATCCCTCCCAACCAGCTTTTCACTCAAATGGGCTTTGTTTGGGTTGAAATTGGCACAGTGCTGATAACAAGCCCGAAGGTAAAATATGATGGTAGGGCTAAGCAGGCAGTCCAACCCACGACCCTGAAATGCAGGAACTTAGCCCATGCACATGGGCTCCTTGGAACGCACGGGAACGAAGCGTACTTTAGCCTTTTAATGGGGAAATCAATAATGGTGGCCTTTTGATGTGACAAATTCAGAAGCTCATTAAACTCCCTTCGAACTTGGAAATTAGATTCATTCATAGAGAGAGGAATCGGTTTGCGGATTTCCTTGTTAAAGAAGGCTTGTCTCATAGTCCTTTGTTAGATTCTTGTCCTCCTGTTCTTCATACGTTAGTGGCTACTTTTTTCTTTTTTTGGTACAAGCGTTAGTGGCTAATGAGTGTATGGGATTTAAGAGGTTACTTGATAAAATCAAATCACGATTTAGAGAATAGTTTCTCAAGAATAAATTTTGTGAAAAATGATTTTGATAAAGTGAGTATGTTTGAATAGTTGTTATCGGAAACACTTTTTATATATGCAAATTACTAAAAAAAGAATAAGCTAATATGATAATTACATAAAACATAGATTTTATAATATATTTTAATTGGAAGAAATAAGATTGTTAATATATTTTTTACCAACATAATTAATAATATATAAGATAATATAATTAATAAATAATTAATATGTATATATATTTATAAGATATAAGATTAAATATGTTTATAAAAAAATTAAAGAGTGTTACAGTCATATTATTGTTGAGATCTACTCTGATAGGTATAATCACACTCTCCAATTTGAGTCAAAAGTAGAATGGATTTACTTCTCTCGAAACTATCGTTTTGAGTTTCAAAACCATAGTTTTAGTCCAAACCATAATTTCAGATAATTTATGTATGTTTGGATGATTTTTTCCCCATACCATTGTTTGGCCTGCTATCCATCGTTTAGTTGTTAGTGTTGGGCTCTGCCGCCCTCTTGCGTATCCCCCCCGGGGGGGAAGAAGTGTACTTGAGCCAGAAAAAACGTGTGGAGAGCCCATGACTTCAAAAAGAAGCAGCTGGCAGATTTGATTTCTGTCCCACCTTTGAGTTGAATTGTCAATTGTACATGATCCAGATTTTATTATGTTTTTGTAATTCTAATAACCTTTTATCACAATAAAAAATGAATGAAAATATTTTTTTAGTATAAAGTTTAAAAGATAGGGGGAAAAAAGCAAAATAAGTTGCACACATGGACCCATTCACAAAATTGTTGTCATTTGCTTATTAATTATTGTCAAACCCAATGCTAATATTCCTGTTTGCAATTTTTTTTTTTATTTCTAAGGTCTTTTTTGAGATTTTTCCTAAAAGGTACTGTTACAGGTAAAAAGGAAAAAAAATATATCACCAGCCATAGTCCATGGATGTCATGACAGCTGCTAGAGAAAATGATTGTGCTGGGGGTCAATTATATTCCTTCTCATTTTCGTGCTCGTCAATTCCATGTTTAATCCAGTCTCTGTTCTCCCCTATCTCGGTATATCATCATTCCTTCAGCAGCCGTGGACTTTACTCGCAGTTTCTTATTACAGCTGGTTTTTTTCAATGCGCAGCCCTACGTGCCGTTTTCCAAAAGGGGAAAGAAGAAGAAGAAGAAGAAGAAGAATTCATGCAATTATAAGTATAATATTCCTTCAATCCTTAATGTAAGACCTAATTTGAATTTAATATTGGTCTTATATGTAACTATTTCAGAAGTTCATCAACTTCTTCTCAAATGAACCCTATTGATATTTATTTGACAATAATTAAGTATGAAAAAGAAAGAGGAAATTAAAAAAGATGATTATAGTGTTTTAAAAAAATATATCATATTAACTAATTTAACTAACATACTTAATATATTATAATTAGTTAATTAGATCTTACATTGAGAATCGAAATATTACTGCCATTTTATCATTCCATTGAATGGATGGATCCCGAGAGAAACAAGGGAGGGAGTGAACGTTATGCGAATCTACTGTTCTCCAAAAGGTAATTCACAGCCAGAGGAAACACATGGCATGTTTTGCCAACGTTGTCGTATACAAGACTTTGGTCTACTGAATAGCTTACAAGCACACCGTTTTGTGCCACAAAGAAAATTGAATGAGGAGAGGCACACATGGAGACGTAGGTTAATGAATTTGATGATTGAAAACATCACCGTCATGATGTGATTTATTAACATTCTGAGCTTGTTCTTATTTTCTAGCTAGGCATGACCCACCACCTCTTTATCGATTAATCGAAAGGGTGTTACGAGCTAAGAGAAAGGGAGCTGCGAGGAAGCTGAGTAGGAAAGGGATGTTTGATTCCAAATTCAATTAGTTTCACAATTGACGACACAGTACACTTCCATTACCTGCTTCTGATCTATGCGTGTTCTAATCTCCTTGGACACTCATATTAAACAAACCTAACCATATTATATAGAAAATTTTGAATTAATTACTATGTCATGAAATGGACCTCAATATATTTTTTAACATGACATGAGAAATTACTCACAGCGGAAGGAAAAAGAAAAACTCTTTGTATGGAAAGTCAAGAAATTGGCAATTAACAGACTTTAGTAATTAAAAAGTTAAAAAAATATATATTCTAAGAAAGTTTTTCACCGAGCGGCGGATAGTGAGGTACTCATTAGTCACTGTTCCGTTCAATAGTAAAGCAACTAGTCAAATTAATCTTTAGATTGAATTCACCTTTCACGTGCAACATCATACCATTGAGACTAGGGCCGGAACAGGGATTTGCTATGGCGCATATACAATTGAAAGGGCACATAAAATAATTGAGAGGATAAGAAGCATTGAAATATAAAAATTAATTGGCGAGATGGATTAATCAGAATGACAAAGGAGAGATAAACATGGGATGAATGATTAATTAGGCTTGATGAGTGGATTAGATTAAGATGAATAAGATGAATCAAGATTATGGTGCAATAACTTTATACTCCTATGAGAGTAGAAGAAGATAATAATACTCCTCCGGTCCTAATTATAAGACCCAATTGACTTATTTGAAGAGATTAAGGAAGTAAGTTAAGTTGGTTATTTATAATAAATAAGTGTTGTCATTCCTAAAATATCCTTGCTAATTAAGTATATTGACTAAAACTATCATTATTAGAAGGATTATCTTGGAAAAAAATGCATAAATATAAGAGAGAAAATGGATTGGGTCTTATAATTAGGACCAAATAAAAAGTCAAATTGGGTCTTATAATAAGGACCGGAGGAGTATAATGATATCTTCGTTTTGCTGGCTGCGCTGCTCTGTGTTGACTTTATTGGAGAGAATATTATGGGATTGACGAGAATCGTCTTGAAAGGAAGATCCAGGAATGAAGGAGGACATAAATAAGAAACAATAATGAGGAATTAGTAAGGCGTAATGACGAAGCTACTTCATATCATTTGAGGTATAAAAGCTTTCCTCAGTTCCTTCTTTCTCTTTGGTTTTGATTTGAGAATAGAAATTCAGTTCAGAACGGATAATCCCGCCTTGAATGAGGAAAGCGACGTTATTTCTTTTTGTTTAATTATATCATTAATTAATCAACCCTATCATCATGCTTCAAAGCTTGTTGCTTCCATCACAAGCTGAACTGCGCATTATTTTAATTCACAGACCTAAAATCCACAAAGTGATCCACCCAAATAAACGATCGTAATTTTCCTGTCATTATTACTTTAATTAAACAAAACAGCCCTTGATGGCGGATAGGGACATCCGGATATGGCCTTTCCAGCACTTGGAAATATATATGGTCCTAACTCGTGTTTCGTGCCTCCCCCCACGCTCTCATCATTAATCATATTATACATATTCATTTAATTATATCGAAATCTTCTTTAGATTTTCTCGGAACATGTAACGCTTCTCCATAATAAATTAAAAAGTAGCCATCTTCTACTTTGTTTGGAATATTTTATACTGTTTAATTTCTCACACGCGTATGATAAATTTCAAATAATAAATAAGTTAGAAATATATTTATGTTTTCAAATATGCTCTAATAATAAAAATATGAAAAAGAAAATGTAGGAAAATGTGATAAAAAAATTTAAGTGCAACATTTAAAAAAATACATTAAATACTAAAACAAATCAAAATTAAAACTTATAAAATGAAACATTTTTTTTAATCTAAGGCTTATAAATAAGACCCGAGTGAGTATATTCTAGTGTCCAAGAGGCAGGTAACTTTCGCCATCTGTTTTAAAAGTACAACCCAATAATTAAACTTAGGAGGTGTTTGACAACTCTCAAAAGTACTTCTCAGAAGCATATTTCTACAAAATGAGGCAAACTCCTTTATATATTTGCTTCGTAAATTATAAAAACACTTCTAAAATCATGGTTTGGTTTCTATGCAAACATTTTTTTAATATGGCATGAAAATTATCAAGATCGAAAAGAAGACGATCAAGTCCGAGGAAAATTTATCTGCCTGAGCCATACAATTGTAAGCAGCACATTACAACAATATTAATTTCATCATCCCAAATTACGATGAATTCCACAATGATTTGAAATCAAGCTATGTCCAAAAGAACTAGTGGGTAAATCAATACACGCACACATATTCTGACCGCATTAATTATTTCCCCTATATCTGTTCACAAATTTCCCAGACGGCTGGTTTGCGAAATTAAAAACCCTCCGGTCTTCATAGATAAAGAAATAACACACCTTGTATCTGAATGCGAGTTTTGCTTAACTATAAGGGGCAGCTAGGGAGCGAGGGACTTCATCAAAATTTGGGGTCTTAATTTAAAACTTGAAGACTGTTGGAAATAAATAATTATCACTGGACCTGGCCAATGCACTGTGTACCTATTGTTGTTTGGATTACGTCTCTGATTATAACTTACGACCGTTGTTGTTGAACAAATTAAAAATAAATTGGAGCTCAAGTCATTTAACACTTTATTATTATAGTCTAACTACTTTACCAACTTAATTGCACGTAATCCAACGCTAATGACCTTAAAGAAAGGGAGGGAGTAGGTTAATTTCTCAGTACTTTTTTCGGCTAAAGTGACGTATTATTCTCCATCTATTAATAGTTTATAGATATTTCTTGAAGATTCTTTATTTTATGAATAAAATCAAGTAGTCTACTAATTGTTGGCCGAAAACAAAAAGTAGTCAACTAATTGAACGGCTTTAAAATTAAATTGATAATTCAGGCAAAAAAATAATAAAATGACGACATCACTTTAATTAATGTGAGTAAGAATGGTTATATGAAGGTTTATGGATATTAAGACATTACTTGAAGCCTGAACGTTGCTTTGTTATTCAGAATAATACTCCGTTGGTGGTTTTAAAATAGCAATAGTTGCTTTAGAATTTTGATTTTGTTTCAAGATAATTATATCGTCTTAGAATTTCAATGAAACATTACTAAATTTTTATCAAAATTTTATATCTCATCAATAAAAGGCCAAGCCCAATTCCCAAATGCCTATTATATAACAACTCTTTTTTTTTTCACTTAAAACAATAAGGATTAATATAATATTTACTCCTTCAGATTTGTTCTTATTTTAATTTTTGATCATTCAAATTTTAAATCATAAGTTTTGGTCCCTAAAAAGATAAAATGGTTCAAATTTTTATTAGATTATAAGAACCAATGTTATAAATTAAAAAAAATTTAAGGGATCAAAACTTATTATTTGTAATTTGAAAAATCAAAACTAAAATAAAGATAAACTTAAAAGATTAAAGTTTATATTATTCCAAACAATAAATTATAAAACCGAGCTAGTAGTTAGACTTAACAGTTAGATTCGGTGTTTGCTTGATTGAATTGCATTTCACAATAAACGTGACACAGAAAAGTCAAAAAGGCAGAACACCGGGACGTGCGTAAATAAAACTTTTAAATTGCCAGTTGCTTGATGAATGAACTTGGCATTTAGCTCTCGCCAATCATCGAGGACATCTATTTACTCTTGAGTCCAAAAAAAAAAGGCATCTATTTACTCTACAAGAAAGCAAAAAGACAGTATTGTCCCCATGGAACATGGCTTTTATTTTTTTTTCTTTTTGCTGATCTTACTGCCGATCTTTAACATAAGAATTAATTTGATATTTAATTTACTCTTAAATATTATTTTCGGTTATTAATATAGAACTTTTAAATTGCCCGTTGCTTGGTGAATGAAGTTGGCATTTAGCTTTCACCAATTATTAAGGACATCTACTACTCTACAAGAAAGCAAAAAGACTGTATTGTCCCCATGGAACATGGCTTTTATTTTTTTCTTTTGTTGATACTACTCCCGATCTTTAATATAAGAGTTAGTTTGATATTTAATTTGATTTTAAATATTGTCTATTTGGTTCTTAATACGAAAGTTAGTTCACTAATTTGAGTAGATTAAGAAAACTAGTTAAGTTAGTTATTTGTAATAAATATATGTTATATTTTCTAAAATATCCTCACTAATTAAGTGTATTAGTTAGAACTATCATTATTACAAGAATTACGTTAAAAAAAGGATAAATATGAGGGATAAGATTGATTAGAGTCTTATATTTAGGACCAAAATAAAAGTTAAATGAGCTCTTATATTAAGAACAAGAGGTAGTATAAGATCCTGATTTACTTTGTCTTTCATATTTATTCATATTTTATAGTTTTCATTGTAATAATTGCATATGTTAAATATTTTATTAAATAGTAATTCTAACTGATATATATGATTAGAAAATATATTTTTAGAAAAAAATACTTATTTATTATAAGTAACTGACTTAATAAATTTTATTAATTAACTAACTCTTATATTAAGTATTCGAGGAAGTATCATGGAACACGGCATTTTTAATGTGGAGGAATGACGTTTCGGACTTTTCTGTCCGCTTCGCTTTTGGAAGCTAGAGCGCACTTATGGCCACGAACCATATATATATATATATATATAACGCGCCATTCTCATTCATTCCTCGCGAGCGAATTAATCGAAAGATCAGACGATGTGAGTTCTGAATTTTAAGAATCGGGGAACGATCTAGATCTCAAGTAAAAGAAACGATTCGATCGAGAACAATAACAGTAACGAAGTTATATATATACTTGAATAATTAAAGCACCCGCTGGAGGCTAGCTCTACAGTACTACTACTTTACAAAATAATAATAATATATATATTTATAACGGGTTTTGAAAACACCCAATATTTTCCAAAACCACAACTCTTTTCCCAAGGGGAAAATTAAAAGACCCACACCATCTAATTCTTTAGCAATTTTGGTTTCACCAGGAGCAATTCAGTTGCTGGCGTGCAATTAATCGAGGCCGATTAATTATGGCTTTATTTACTTGGTTACTCATAATATACGGTCAAAGTTTATTCTGTCCGTGACGCTGGTATTGCATGGCCATGCAGATGATGAGACGGGTTGCAGTCGTTGGAACATCAAGTACTGAGTTAGGGTCGACAGTTTTTGCCGGAGCATGATTCGCTCGGACCGGAGCCATTCGTTTTCGGTTCGTACGCGGTTCGTGAGGTGAAGCAAGAACTGCATCCGGTTGTTCAGGTCCCGGTTTTCCACCCTAAACCGGTTCAGCTGGTTCCGTAAGTTCTCTAGATGCCTCTGTTTACGCATGCGCGAACGTCTTGCCGACTCCCGGTTCGATATCATCCGTCTCCGCTTTCGGTCCTCCGTGACGGAATCTGGAGGGTCCTGTTGATCATCAGAGGAGGGGGATTTTCTCTTGGCATGGGTTTGGTCCGGTTCGTCTGAGCCGGAACTTGAATTAGTGACGGGGTCGATGGGATCGAAGACAGAGATAAGGTCCGGGAACTCCCACGGCGCTGGGCCGCCGTCAAAGGAGGAGAAGGGGTTCCCGAGGAAAGGGTGGGAAGGTGAGAGAGTGGACAGCATGGCAGCAGGACAGAGTTTCTGCTTATAGAGGGTGGGTGGAAGGAAGGAGGGAGAAAGGGAGAAAAGGCTGAGGGGGTGTGCGGTATTTATGGACGTGGGAGGGAACCCCCCCTCGGAAATTAGGGGCATCCGGTAGGGGTATTTTAGTCCCAGAGCGTATAGTTGGAGCCGGACCGTATATGTACATCAGTACATGGGATCACTTTTGAGTCAGGGAGCACTAATGGTGGGACTAGGTCTTCACTTTATTTTCGAGGAGAGGGTCAAGAGTGCGTGGGCCCCTGAAAGAGACTGCATCTGTATGCTTACTCGTGAAGTAAAATGACCAGTTCGCATTCGCACTGTACACGTGTCACCTGTGTGATTGGGTGGGCCTGCCAGCACCAATGATTGGTGAGCTTGCGACGTGGAGCGCCCTCACTGCCCAGGCATGCCCGCACCAAAGTTTGTTTTTAAATAAAGAGGGGGACCAAAACAACACACCAAATTTGAGAGAAATAAATGAGAATAGCTCCACATATTATGAATTCAAGATTACTGGCTTAAAAGGAGAAAAAGAAAAAAGGTGAGAGAGGTCCCGTTATCCAATTTTATAATTCCGGAGTTATTATTTATTTAATTTATAAGAAGCAGTGGGAGTTGGATTTAAGGCTCGCGACGCATACGGTGCTTAAGAAAGTGCTATGTATCTCGACTAATTAGTAATCATTATCATTAAAAAACATGTCCAAGAGACTGTACTGAGCTGCCTCTCACATAAAACATGATTGTGCTTGAACCTTTTTTTATCATATTACTATATAAATTTGAACAAATAAATATATGTATATGAAGTCATGCGTGCACTGTGTTTTTTTTTTTCTTCCCCAAGAAGAAGTTACGTCCCCAGTTTCTCTTCCCTTTTTTTTTTTATCAAGAAATTCTGATAGTCCCCCTCCACTATGATGGGAAACAAAACTGCGTGCTGAGTGCATCATTTGAAGTACAAAATAGACAAGAATAAGGTGTTTGACAACAAGACGTCGCGTCTTCTCTTCTTTTAACTTAAACAATACGATTAACTATTATTGTTAGTGTATCAAAAGTCAGACGGGTACGAGTTTTAATATACAGATCCCACACTATACAACCTGGGTAAGTACATTATGCTTATATTTATATGTATAAATAAAGGAAGAGAATGAGGGCGAAGAATAAAGGTTGTCAGAATGTAAAGGAGACGCGGGAATATATATATATATATATATATATATATATATAGTTTAGCAGTCTAAGAATAGGGAGACGGCGGTCTGTATTATTATATATTGACAGGACAGTGCAAAAGGGCCTGTGATGTTCGTTTCCTTTCCAAATTCGTTCTGATAGGCATATCGTTCATTTCTGTTGGCACACCAATCGTCGTAGCCAGTGCAGTGCATGCATATTTATTAATCAAGGTATACATGCGTTTGCATATCTTTTCTGGTGTTGCAGAAGGGAAAAAAAGTTCATTTACAGATTTCAAATAGAATAGTGGCCGACGTAATTAAATAATTAGGGCGAGCCAGGAATATTCTTTGGTATACGTAGTATATATCAGTTAATTATTATGCATGGGAGGTGTAAAAGAAAGGAGGGGGTGGCGCATTTAAGAAAATGCCCATACCTTGGGGCAAACAGTGGCGAATGGATCGTGTCTGGTCCTGATTGAGAGTGAACAAAGCGATGGAGCAGGGGGTGAGAGGGATTGAGAACGCCGGGGCCGCCAATATGGAGGCAACAAGTTTCAAGATATGTATAAATTAAGACACAAAGGGAGCAATAATTGAAGAAAATTTCAGCAAGCAATCCATGTGAACGGGGGGAGTTGGTGATATAAAGCAGTAAAGAAGGGGGAAAAGCAAGAAGTCCAGGAAAAAAGAGAATTTGTGAGAAGATTTGCTTTAGCTTTAGCTTTTAAGTATGTATAATCTAATAAAAAGAGAAAGAGGCAAGGCATATGGGGGTTGGGTACCGGAACAAGCAATTCCAATGAGGAAATGACATTACATGAACATGTGTAATAATCGAAGTTGCTCGTAGAATTGCATGTATGTATTCATGAACTGGCCAATGAATTGGAGTACTGTGCTGTGGTGTTGCTCAGTTGTTGGTGTCGGAATGAAAACGCTATATCACTAATGGCTTTCCCAATCTTTCTTTTAGTGCTCTCCTCTCCGACTTTCAAGTCAACATACTCCTCCGGTCCTTAATATATATAGGATCCAATTCTTGAGTTAGTTTTGGTCCTAAATATAATATTCATTTCTTATATTTATCAATTTTATCTAAATTACCCTTATAGATACTCTCTCAACCATAATCAAGTAGAAGAGGGAGAAGGGTATTAAAAAAAATGATTATGGTGTTTTAGAAAAAACGTGTCACATTTTTTATAATTAACTAACTTACCTAACTTCCTTAATCTAATCAAATTAGTTAAATGTGTCTTATATTAAGGACCGGAGGAGTACTATGTTTGCTTTTGTCCAATTTGAGATATATTCATTCTCCCTTGCCTTCAACCTTGTCCCGTCTTTAATTTGTATCCTCCACCTTAGAAAAAGAAGAAATATGTATTGCCACGTGCCTACCTTAATTGCCTTAGGTTCTGCCTTTAATCAAAGCATCTGTACGTAATATAAAGTTTATTAAAAAAAAAAATTGCACTGCTCATATGCCATGAATTGTTCGCGATCTATCTCAAGTTCTACGTAAGGCATAAACGTAGAATCCAGTTATTTGAAAATTAGACTCAACACAGAATAATTAATTACGACTCTTTTTTTTTTTTTTGTGTGAAAAAGCAGAAAACTCTTCTTTCCTACATCCTATAATTGTCGTTGCTTATAAAGCCATAAATCCATAACTACAATAAGTCGGTAACTGCAACAAAGTTGAAAGCTCTCATTCATTGTGATTTTTGCGATATACTTCCCTCGTTCCTATTTACAATGTCTTGATTCAATTTTCATTTCATCCATAAATATATGTCTTGTTTCAAATTTTAAAGTTGAATTATTATTTGTTTTCAATGATACACCTCTTTTAAACGGAGGACATTAAATAGAGATAGTAAATTTTTAAAATAGAGTGACACTAAATGAAGAGCGAAATTGAAAAAGAGAAATAATTCTCACACGTGTGGCATATGAATTTTGGTGTGTAATTTTAAATGAGAACAAGTAGATAAGGACAAAGAAATATACATATTATGCAGGCAGCAGAATTTTGGACGTGCTTTAATTTCCTCTTTCGATAACAGGAATAGCTGCAACGAAGCCCGCGTCTGGGACGCTTAACCTGGGGAATTCAAGATCACTGAAAAGGAACCTAGAAAGCTGAGGATGTTCCGTTCATTCAAATAGACTCGGAGGGTCTTGGACCCTTAGCAGCCCCAGTGATTTGTTTCTTTTGGGGTTAGTGTTGTGACAACTCTTTGCCAGTGATCTTTTGGATTGCATTAGTAATAGTATTGTACTCTGCGTTATTGCATGAAGCAAGGGCTGAATAGGAATTATGGTCAACCGCTTTTGCCCCAGGCAAGAAAACAAGCCAGCCTCCCTTCCAACGGTAGCTGCCTGCATCTGTAGCCACACAAACGGAAACTCTTTTTTTTTTTTCTTTGCCCCAAAAACCAAAGAAAAGCCCGTTATCAAAGCATGTGGGCTACCAAGTCCGTCTCACCCCTACATATTCAGCTTGCAGACCCTCCCTGCCAAAAAAAAAAGGTTGCATAAAAACTCAATTAAAACATACTCCTCCGGTCCTTAATATAAGACCCATTTAACAAATTTGATTAGATTAAAGAAGTTAGGTAAGTTGGTTAATTATAAGAAAGTGACACATTTTTCCTAAAACACCATAATCATCTTTCTTAATATCCTCTCTCCCTCTTCTACTTAATTATGGTTGAGAGAGTATCTATAGGGGTAATTAGAGAAAATTGATAAATATGAGAAATGGGTCTTATATTTAGGACCAAAACCAACTAAGAATTGGGTCATATATTAAGGACCAGAGGAGTATCAAATATTGTACCAAAAAACATATCAAAAATTAAAAAAATTAAACTAAACAAAATCTCAAAGCATTTGAATTCAAGTAATTTCTGCACAAAGACTGTTTACTTTTTAGAGAATTGGACGGACAGTAAAAAGGGACGATTATTCCTTGAGAATTGAGATAAAACCACTTTATCTAATGATGATGCTGTGGTTTACTCACAGCGCCGGGGGCCAAATTTGTGTCAGACGTTATAATGTCATATTATTATTGTCAGCTGCACTTTAAAACAGTGTTTGGATAATAAGTACTGAGACAAACTCCTCTATATATTTATTTTGTATGTTGTAAAAGTGTTATTAAAATTATAGTTTTATTTTTACCCAAACACTCCTTAATATGAAGATCGTCCAGAAGCATATATTTAGATTGTTTACATTTTATTTAGATAGTCTGAATTTGATTTTTTTTTATTTATTCAAAATAATTATTTTAATATGTATAGAATCTAAATAAAAATAACCTTTTAATCATTTTTATAATTAATTAAAAATTTTAAATTTGATATGTTTAAATAAGATACAGATAGTTTAAATCTGATAAGCTTAAACTGATAGATCAGGCCGAAAGTGGTTCCATAGTTCTGAAGCCCCGAAACTTCTGCTCACACCCGAACGGGCCAGGTCATCGTACTCGTTTTGACTATATCTTCGTCAAAAGCTACCGTCCAATAACTTGCAATCAAAACCCCAATCATTCTGTCCAAAAAAAAAAAAAAAACCCCAATCATTCAATGGTACTGCTATTATATCATTCGGCCTTTCCTTGGATCAATCTGTTTCGCTATTGTGATTTGTGTGGAAGCAGTCTTTTCATTTTGGGGTCCATAGCTGGTGCAACCCGAAGTTAATTTCCTTCCACAATTATGCAATAGTCAGTCATCATATTGTCCTTGAAGACAAAAGTGGCCGCGTTTTCCACCGACCATAATGGTAACTTGAAGGAAACACTTGCAAGAGCGGCCATACGTTCAAGTTGAATTCTGCAAACTGACGATCAAATCATCAGTTCATATTGGACTGATGCACGAGGACGACGCCGACAGAGCCACTTGTGTTGGGGTTTACATGCTTAGTCAAATCTCTGCTCGAATCCATTTCGTACGTAATTTCTAAAGAAGCCGTAAATCTAAGCAATCAACGATCGGTATGCGCCATTATTTCCTTCCATGGAGCCCACCAGATGTGTTTCATGCTGGAGAATAGAGGGACTGACTACCTGCAGCTTGCTGTGTGTGGCTGAAGCAACCAAAACACGAGTATATGCAACTGCAGTACTGCACAGAGAAGATGCTGAAAATTAATAAAATTATGAATAAAATCTTTACAAGTCCGAAAGGATCACGGAATCTTTTTAGCATGGAGCCAGATTCAATGTCGTCTCTGTTTATGAAGTATAAAATATTCAGTGAGTTAATGTGAGAAATGACATTGATGGCCCATCTCTCCACTAACCAAATATTAGAAATTATACTA